CACGTAGCGCCTGTGGCTGCGACACGTGGCGCCTGCGGCTGTGACATGTGGCGCCTGCGTCTGTCAAATGCGGCACCCGTGGCTGTGACATGCGGCGTCTGCGGCTGTGAAATGCGGCGAACGTGGCTGTGACATGTGGCGCGTGCGGCTGCGACACGTGGCGCCTGCGGCTGTGACGCGCGGCGCCTGCGTCTGTGAAATGTGGCGCCCGTGGCTGTGAAATGCGGCGTCTGTGGCTGTGAAATATGGCGCCCGCGGCTGTGGCGCGCGGCGCCTGCGGCTGCGACATGCGGCGCCTGCGGCTGCGACACGTGGCGCCTGCGTCTGTGAAATGTGGCACCCGTGGCTGTGAAATGCGGCGTCTGTGGCTGTGGCATGTGGCGCCCGCGGCTGCGACATGTGGCGCCTGCGGCTGCGACATGTGGCGCCTGTGGCTGTGACACGTGGCGCCTGCGTCTGTGAAGTGCGGCGCCCGCGGCTGTGAAATGCGGCGTCTGCGGCTGTGAAATGCGGCGCCCGTGGCTGTGACGCGCGGAACCTGCAGCTGCGACGCGTGGCGCTTGTGGCTGTGACATGTGGCGCCTGCGTCTGTGAAATGCGGCGCCCGCGGCTGTGAAATGCGGCGTCTGCGGCTGTGAAATGCGGCGCCCGCGGGAGGTGGGCGACCCGCCACCAGTTCGCGCGCAACGAGCAGACGCAGGCGTTCCGAAACGAAAGCAAACCGACGCGCAGACTCAGGAAGGCACCGGCGGCAAAGAAGATTGGAGGACAGACGACGTATCCAGAGTTACGCGACGCCTCAAATCTGAAGACGCCGACGAACGCAAACTGCCTGTGGCTGTGACGCGCGGTGCCTGCGTCTGTGAAGCGCGGCGCCCATGGCTGCGAAACGTGGCGCTTGTGGCTGTGAAATGTGGCGCCCGCGGCTGTGGCGCGCGGCGCCTGCGGCTGCGACGCGCGGCGCCTGTGGCTGTGACACGTGGCGCCTGCGTCTGTGAAATGTAGCACCCGCGGCTGTGAAATGCGGCGCCTGCGGCAGTGAAATGCGGCGCCCGCGGCCGTGACGCGCGGCGCCTGTGGCTGCGATATGCGGCGCCTGCGGCAGTGACGCGCGGCGCCTGCGTCTGTGAACTGCGGCACCCATGGCTGTGAAATGTGGCGTCTGCGGCTGTGAAATGCGGCGCCCGTGGCTGTGGCGCGCGGCGCCTGCGGCTGCGACATGTGGCGCCTGTGGCTGTGAAATGCGGCGCCTGCGGCTGTGAAGCGCGGCGCCCGTGGCTGTGGCACGCGGCGCCTGTGGCTGCGACATGTGGCGCCTGTGGCTGTGACATGTGGCGCCTGCGTCTGTGAAGTGCGGCACCCGCGGCTGTGAAATATGGCGTCTGTGGCTGTGAAATGTGGCGCCCGCGGCTGTGACACGTGGCGCCTGCGGCTGCGACACGCGGCGCCTGCGGCTGTGACATGTAGCGCCTGCGTCTGTGAAATGCGGCACCCGCGGCTGTGAAACGCGGCGTCTGTGGCTGTGAAATGTGGCTCCCGTGGCTGTGACATGTGGCGCCTGCGGCTGCGACGCGCGGCGCCTGTGGCTGTGGCGCGCGGCGCCTGCGTTTGTGAAATGCGGCGCCCGTGGCTGCGAAATGCGGCGTCAGTGGCAGTGAACTGCTGCGCCCGCGGCTGTGACGCGCGGCGCCTGCGGCTGCGGCACGCGGCGCCTGTGGATGTGAAGCGCGGCGCCTGCGGCTGTCAAATGCGGCGCCTGTGGCTGTGAAATGCGCGGCGCCTGCGGCTGTGAAATGTGGCGCCTGCAGCTGTGAAACGCGGCGTCTGTGGCTGTGAAATGTGGCGCCCGCGGCTGTAACGCGCCTGCGGTTGCGAACTGCGGCGCGCTCGGCTGTGAAATGTGGCGCCTGCGGCTGTGAAATGTGGCGCATGTGGCTGTGAATTGTGGCGCATGTTGCTGTGGAATGCGGCGGCTGCGGCCGTGAAATGTGGCGCTTGTGGCTGTGTAATGTGGCGCCTGTGGCGCCAGACCCCACAATTTGGAAACTACCATGTCTAGTTTCCGCATTGTGCGTTTCCTGCGTACTGCCTTGAGTTTACGTGCGTGCGCGTGGCATTCTTACGTGCGTAGTGTGCTTACGTGCGTAATATGCTTAGCGGCTGACATCACATACTTCGTCTGCGTATGCTATGTCATTGCATAGCGCATCCTTTGAACACCATTCGTCGCGCGCTTTACGCACTGACGGTCTTGGGCCTTTACGCACTGATGGTTTGCTTTACGCGATGCCGCTTTACGCGCTGATGGCCTACACTCCGGGAGCCCCTCCCGGGGCTCGGCTTCCGGGGGCCGCCCCGGGGGGGCCGTCCCGGGGCCTCTCTGTTCCGTGGGGCCTCTTCTGGTAGCCCCTCGGGAGCCTCGTCTGGGAGCCCACTGGCTGCCCCAGGGGCCCGTGTTGTTTTCGGGCCGAGTGCCGCGGTGGCCCACGCCGCCGTGAACCGCGCGACGACGGGAAATCTGGGCCGACGCTGGCGGCGACGACGGCGGCCTCCCTCTGCGCCCCGTCCCGCCACGGGTGCCTGTCGGGGGTCGGGAGGCAGGGCCAGGGGACAGAGAGGCGGGAAGAGGAGAGTGATGGCCAAGAGGAGCTCGGTCTCGCTTCCCTCCCCTCCGCTCGCCCCAGACTCGCTCACTCCTCAAACCCTCCTCCCCGCCCCCCTCTGACCACCATCCCCTCCCCTTGCCACCCCCGACCTACCCTCTCGCCCCCCCCCCCACTGCTCCACCCCCCTGCCTCGCTCCCTTGCCTTACCCATTCGAGGGAGGCAGGAGGAGGGAGGAGGCAGGAGTAGGAAGGAGCCAGGAGGGAGGGAGAAGGGAGGAAGAGGGCAGGAGGAAGGAGGCAGGCAGGAGGGAGGAGAGGAGGGAGGCAGGAGGGGGAGGGAGGCCTAAGGGAGGCAGGAGGAGGGTGGAGGCAGGAGGGACGCGAAGGAGGCGGCAGGAGGGAGGAGGCACAATCGCACGCAGTAGCGGATGAGTCCGCGGCAGTTGTCGGGCCCCTCGCCCGCGGAGTGGCCCAGCGGGGGCAGGCCCGCGGCCCGCGGGTGCTTGGCGGCCGCCTGCGGAGGAGGGAGGGGGCGCGGGCGTCGAGTCAGGGGCACGCACACACACAGACACACACAGACACACACACACAGACACACACACACACTCCCACTCTCACACACACAGACACACAGACACACACGCACAGACACACACAGACACACACAAGACACAAGACCCCCACCCACACACACACACACTCACACACACAGAGACACACACACACAGACACACACACAACCAGACACACACACAGACACACAAGACACAAGACCCTCCCCCCCCCCCCCCCCCCCCCCCACCCCACACACACACACACAGACACAGAGACACACACACACACACACAGAACACACACACAGACACACAGACACAGACACGCACACGACACACAAGACCCACACACACCACACACACACACACACACACACACACACACACACACACACAACACACACACACACACACACACACACACACACACACACACACACACACACACACACACACACACACCACATTCACACCGCACACAGAGACACACAACACAGACACACCAGACAGACACACACACAGACACACACACAAGACACAAGACCCCACAACACCCCCCCCACACACACCCACACACACACACACACACACACACACACACACAACACACACACACACACACACACACACACACACACACACACATACACACACACGCACACGCACGCACGCACGCACGCACGCACGCACGCACGCACACACACACACACACACACACACAGACACACACACACAGAGAGACACACACACACAGACACACACACAGACACACACACACACAAAACACAAGACCCACACACACAGAGACACACACACAGACACACACACACATTCACACGCACACGCACACACACAAGACACAAGACACAAGACACAAGACACAAGACACACACACACACGCACACACACACACACGCACACGCACACACAAGACGCACACACACACACACTCACACACCACCCAACATACACACACTTTTTGCGGCGGCGGCTGGGCAGAGGCTGCTGCTCCGGCGATGTGGCATTAGTGGGGCGTATAAAATGCAACTTCGGCCGCGGTGCACGGGGGCAGAGGGAGGAAGCCCGGCGCAGGCGGGGAGAGAGGAAGCCGGGCCCGCTCAGGCAAGTCCCAGCGGCGGCGGGCGGGCGGACACACACACAGACTCACAGACATTCAGACACATTCGCACACGCACACGCACACGCACACCCACACACACATTTCACACACACACACACACACACACGCGCGCGCGCACTTGTACCGTGGGACTGCGCCGAGGAGGTCGAAGTTGAGGATGCGGACGACGGGGGCGAGGACGAACGGCGGGAGGGGGGGGCGCAAGCGGACGGAAGGAGGAGGTGGAGGAGGCTTCAAAACAGCCCTCAGGAGGACGCGGGTGAGGTGAAGCAGGCGGTTGAGGATGATGATGATGATGAGGAGGAGGAGGAGGAGGAGGAGGAGGAGGACGACGAGGAGGACGAGGAGGCAACGATGACGATGGCGCAGGTGATGCGGTGAGGATGATGTTGAGAAGGATGATGAGGAGGAGAAGGTCCCAGAGGAAACGAGGAAGATGAGGAGGAGTCGAACATGGAAGAGAAGAAGAAAGAGACGAAAAAGAGTGAGGAGCAGTTGAATGAGGAGCAGAAGGAGCGATGTGAGGAACAAAGGGGGCCTTTGGTGAAGCTTTCCTTCTTGGCCCTCGGAGTGTGTCCTTGTCATTGTCGTTTGAGTGTGCTGTTTTGATGTTGAGAGCCGGGGCGTGCCAGAACCTGACCGCGCGCTAAGCGCCCGCGTGGAAATCACCACACGGGGCTGGGATGCCGCCGCGGCCAGGGCGACCTGCCGCAAGCGCAGCGGCCCATGATCCGCGTGGCCGCTGACTGCACCTCGCAGGGCGAGATGTACGCGTTGAGGGGCTGGTTCAAGGCCGCGGCGGTTGCGACGGCTGCGACGGCGCCGACGCCAGCGGCGCCGACGACAGCGACGGACGACGTCGACGAGGACAGGGAGGGTGGGGAGGGGAAGAGAAGGCGATGGCGGAGGACGATGAGGAAGAAGAGGGGGATCAGGAGGGGGAGGGAGAAGTCGCATGATGAGGATTATGGGGAAGGGGGGTGCGGACGGTGGATGGGCGGGATCGGGAGAGCGACGCAGCGGGAGGGGGTGGATGGGAGGGCGGAGGAGGGGGAAGGGGGGCGCGGAGGAGGGAAAGCTGGGACGGGGAGCGCGAGGTGGAGGACGAGGACGTCAACGACAGCGACGATGAGGGTGGAGAGGAGGAGAGATAAGAGTGACGAGGGCGTACGACGAGGAGTCCGACGGTTGGGAGATTCAGGGAGAGGAGGATAGACAGGCAGTGTGCTCGGATTCATAATATACGCACCCGCAGCGGATACAGCCCTACGCAGGGCGTTCCCAAAAGGGCTTCGTCTCCGAGGTGTCTAGAAACAGACCACCCCCTAACCCTGAACACCTTCTCATCCTACTCGTCCGTTCGCCTTCGCCTCCTCCTCCGGCTCTTCTCCATCCTCCTCATCCATCTCCACCCTCCGACCTCTTCTCCTCCGCCCCTCTTTCCGGCACCTCCCCTAGATCAAAATTTGATTACACATAGTCTAATTACTGTGGGGGCGTTCGATAAGGAATGTGCCCAGGAGGCTGCAGACCCTTGAAGCTTCCTCAACTGATGAGGGCGGCGATGATATCCATCGCCGGTCCACGATTGGAGTTCCACCGGCTTCCAGTCCCTGGGTTCCTGATCGAAGGTTTCTTTATCCAATGCCATCACCGTATTCACTCTCTCTATATATATATGTATATATATATATATATATATATATATATATCCGTCTCTACTTGCGCCTCCTCTTCTTCAACAGCTTCCCTTCTGTGCGCCGGGCTGCCCCTCCTCCTCCGCCACCTCCTTCGTCCCCTGCTCCCTCTCCTCCTGTCCCCTCCCCCTTCCTCCGAGGGCCCCATTCCTCCTCCCTCCCTCCTCTGCACCTCCCTCCGGCCCCCTCCCCCTCCACGAAAAAAGCAGTCTCCTCTCAGGAGGGGAAAAAACACACAGACACAATTAATCGTCGATTCCCCAGAAAATATGGGAAAATATGGGAAGTGGGGGGGAAGACAAAGACCCAGAAAAAATATGGGAAAATATGGGGAATCTTTTTATTTGTGTGTACTTATGTGTGTGTGTGTCCCAGGGCCCCTTCATCCTCATCCTGTCCCTCCCGGCCCTCCTCCCCGTTTTTGCCTCCTCCTGGCGGCCGGAGGGAGGCCAGGGCGCTCGTGCCACCACTCCTGCTCCTGGCCGCGCGAATGGACGGCCAGGGATGTAGTGCCGTCGTCGTCGCCGTCGTCGCCGTCGTCGTCGCCGTCGTCGTCGTCGTCGTCGCCGTCGGCGTCGAAGTCGTCGGCGTCGTCGTCGTCTTCGGCGTGCTCGTCGTCGTCGTCGTCGTCGTCGTCGTCGTCGTCGTCGTCGTCGTGCGCGGGCCTCACCGCGTCTCGAGTCTCGAGTCCCGGCTGCTGGAGTGGGGAGCCGCTTCCCCGCGCTCCTCGAGCAGGGGATCGACCACAGGCTTGACTTACCCCAGAATTCGATGTTCACGGGAGACATGCGTAGGATGCTCCGTACGTCTACGGAGCAGTCGACGTATTTGTTGCTGTAGATTCGACGGGGAAGTTATTGTTTCGAGGTAAACCAATTCTGCAGTCGATCCCCTTCTCGAGCTCTTCCCTCCCCACTTATCCAGGGCCCAGCGGGCCCCGAGAAGCCCTTCGGCTTCGCCCAGTGCGCCGAGCTGAAAGTGCTGTTCAACAAGGCTTGCCCGCCTCCGCTTCGGCGCCGTCGTCGACGTCGTCCGGCTCTGCCCCCGCAGGTTCTTGGTCAGCATCTTTCTCCCTGTGTTTGGGAGCCTTGAGACGGGGTCAATTCGGCGGCGAGCCCGGGGGGGAAGTGAGAAGGGGAAAGGCCTTCTCAGAAGGCTCGGAAGTTCCCTGGCCTTCTGAGAAGTTGTAAGACTTCCCCGAAGACATAAGAAACCTCCCAGAAGGTGCGAGTGCTTCTGAGAAGTCCCGCCGCCCTCTGAGAAGGCCTTCTCTTTCTCACTTGCCCCCCTCGCTCGCCGCCGATCAATGCGAACGGGGGTCAGCCAGAGCGCCAGATTATGCAGGATCCTGAAAGCTCAGGTCTGCGCTGACCTGGGCCACAGCAGCGCGCAGGAACTTGCAAAACCTGACTGGCCCAGGTTCGCATGGACCCGGGTCAGTGGATCCCCGATGCGCGTGCGTGGGCGGATGGGGGGTCGGTCCTTGATTGAGGAACGAGGCAGCCCGTCAATCCCGTTTGTCTCTTGATGTTTCTCGAATGTGGTCGTCGTGGCCAGGATGAGAAGGATGAGTCCAGTGCGGGAGAAGATGTGTTTTTTTGGGGTTCTCTCTCTCTCTCTCTTTCTCTCTTTGTGTCTCTCCTTCTCTTTCTCTCTCTCTCTCTCTCTGCATTCGCATCCATGGTCGCTACGCGAGGGTTTCTGGGCAGTTGTGCACACCTCACCACGCCGCAGTGGGCCAGCGAGGCATGAGGAGAGTGGGGTTGGGGGCGGTGGGCTGGACCAGTCGAGACGTGTCTCGCTCTTGCCCAAGGTCAGGCTGACACTTCCCGCGCCTCCATGGAACGTGTTGCTCGCCGCCCGGCCGGCAAGGACGTGTACGTCGGCCCCCAGCTGGCTGGAACGGTGCAGCCCGGTTGGGTGGCGCTGAACGTGCTCCTGCGCAAGGACGTCGCGCCGCAAGCTGAGCTGCGTGCTGCCCGCATGTGCAGCAGCGTGATGTTGGGGCGTCGCGGTTGGGCGCTGCTCGAGGAAGACCCGACTGCTCTGCCACAGGGGGAGAGAGAGTACAGCCACCAAGCTTCAGCATGACCTCACTCGCGTCCTGGCCTGTTCGGCACGTTCTCTGCGCCGTTTCCTCGGCGCGAGCGCCACCGTGTCTGCGTCACTGTTGACGCGCAAGGGTCTTGTATCCTTTCCATCCGTCCTCGTTATGGGAGCGGGCTGGAGTGGCTCCCTCATTTCAGATGTCTCATCGCTGGCACGGTCTATACGGATTAGTGCTGGGAGCAACGAAATTGTGGTGTCATCCCGATGGCACGCACCTTAGCTTCGAACGCGAAGTCGCAAAGCCCCTCTTTCTTCTCCATCGGGCATGCGAGATTCGCAAGGGAATGTTCGCTTCTGCGTTTAGCACCCCTGCCGTTCTCTTCCCCACGACACCATCGCTTCGTATCCTCGACTTCTGCTGCTCCCATCCAGGACTTGAAGCTTGGCGGCGTAAACGCGCAGGCCACGCACATCGGCTCCTGCGACGAGAACTGGAAGCCAACTCCAGGCGATGCGTCCCCCGGCTGCCTGGCAGGCGGCCCTTCTCGACACACATTGGAAGAAATGGCCGCATGTGGTGCAGCACGTGGTCCTCTGGCAAGGGCGATGGCCTCTGGTCGAATTTCTCCAGATTCAGGCCCTGGGCGAGCGGGGGGACCTTCTGGCCGCCCCTGTGGGAGTCAGCGGCCGAGGGAGTGGCTCCTTCCTGCCTCTCGGACCTTCCTCCTCTCACCCCAGCGCGCTGGCTTGAGCACGTGTGCGGAACGTTCCACCTCCCGCTGCTGCCCGTGGTCCCCGACTCTTGGCATCGCTCGGACGTGTGCGTTTTTTTTTCGGCGAGGACCATCGAGGAACATTCTTGATAACTTGGCGACAAAACTACGCACGGAACCCCAAAAAAACATAGGGAATGGACGTCCGAGCGATGGCCAGGACTCCCCGCGCACGCTGCCAGCGCGTGGGAACCGACGTGGGACGGCCTGCGCTTGCTTTTTTGTCGGGCGATTGGGCACAGATCGAGCGCCAGAGGGTGCTCGCACTTTTTGTTGCTTGCTCTCCTGCGCCAGGGGTCGCCCCGTAGCCAGGGAGAGGAGAGGAGAGCAGCAGGGGGAGTGGAATGGGCTCCATCGCGGTGCGATGCTGGAAAGCAGCGAGGGGGGGGAGAGCAGGAGGAGGAGCAGCAGCAGCCGCAGAGTGCAGAGGCAGCAGGGTGCAGAGCCTGGAGGCCGGCCGCACCCCCCGCAGCTTCCGGGGGAGGGGAGCCTGTGCCGACGGCGCGGCTCGTCCTAGAGCTGGCCCGCGTCGCCACGGCGGGCCTCTCCCTCCGAGGCACTTCTGGTCGGGAGGCGCCCCAGGAGAGTCTGGAGGGGCAAAAACAGACGGACACAGTGAATCGTCGAGTCCCCAGAAGGTATGGGAAAATATGGGAAGTGGGGGGGGAGACAAAAACTTCAAACATATTTGAAAATATGGTGAATCCCTAAGAATACAGAGAAATATTGGCATTGTATCCGGAAACGGCTTTCAAATGTTACCGGCGCGGGTCAGCGCAGGTCAGCGCAGGTCAACGGGGTCAGCGCAGGTCAGGCCAGTCAGCGCAGGTCAGCGCAGGTCAGCGCAGGTCAGCGCAGGTCAGGCCAGTCAGCGCAGGTCAGCGCAGGTCAGCGCAGGTTAGCGCAGCTCAGATTGTGCCCTGTCCTCCCTGTCCGAGACCCGTGCCGTCCTGCGTCGTTCTGTGAGGACCTGCGCTGACCTGCGCTGACTTGCGCTGACCCGCGCTGACCTGATCCACAGAGGTCCCGGGACGTTTCACAGAGGCCTCTACTACTACTGCTACTACTACTACTGCTACTACTACTGCTACTGCTACTGCTACTGCTACTACTACTACTACTGCTACTACTACTACTACTACTATTACTACTACTACTACTACTACTACTACTACTACTACTACTACTACTACTACTACTACTACTACTACTACTACTACTACTACTACTACTACTACTACTGACTACTACTACTACTACTACTACTACTACTACTACTACTACTACTACTACTACTACTACTACTACTACTACTACTACTACTACTACTACTACTACTACTACTACTACTACTACTACTACTACCACCACTACTACTACTACTCCGACTACGACTACTACGTCTACGACCACGACTCATACTAGCACCGCTACTATCACGACCACGAGTACGTTTGCGACTACTACTACTACTACTACTACTACTACTACTACTACTACTACTACTACTACTACTACTACTACTACTACTACTACTACTACTACTACTACTACTACTACTACTACTACTACTACTACTACTACTACTACGACTACTACTACTACTACTACTACTACTACCACTACTACTACTACTCCGACTACGACTACTACTACGACACGACTACGCACTACTACGACTACGACTACTACTACTACTACTACTACTACTCTACACTACTACACTACCACTACTACTACTACTACTCCGACTACGACTACTACGTCTACGACCACGACTCATACTAGCACCGCTACTATCACGACCACGAGTACGTTTGCGACTACTACTACTACTACTACTACTACTACTACTACTACTACTACTACTACTACTACTACTTCTACTACTACGACCAGCACCCGTTGGAATGTGAATCCACAACAATACCCACCTGGGCGCTCGGTCCGCCCTCTTCTTCCTGACCCCGCGATTCCGCATGGGCTGACAACTCGCCCAACACTCGCTGCACCCAAGCAGACTTGCGCACCTCCTCTTCAGGCGCGTCGTCGTCGTCGGCGTGCTTGCGAAAGAATGGCCACGCGAGCTCGTGCTCTTGCTTCACACTCTCCAGCCACAAGATCCGACTTTCGATAGTTCTGAACGGCGTGTGCCACAAGCTTCGAAACCCGCCCTCTCCCTGCCGCCGAGACCTGGGCGTGCCGCACCCTTGAACTCCTAATTGGGATCCAAATTGAGTCCGTTTTGGGGCCCTCTTGGGACCCTCTAGAGGCCCCTCGTGGAGGCGTCTTGAGGCGATCTTAGGGCCATGTTGGGCCATATTGGGGCCATCTTCGGCCCTCTTGGAGCCCTCTTGGAGGCCTCTTCAGGCCCTCTTGGAGGCGTCTGGAGGCCATCTTGGCCTCTCTTTACGGCCAGCTTCGGCCCCAAAAGGCCTCGAGAGAGCCCCAAGAGAGCCCCAACTAGGATCACCCGGCAGAGGCCTTCCGGGTGATCCTAATTGGGTCCGTCTTGGAGCCCTCGTGGAGCCCTCTTGGGCACCTCTTAAGGCGCTCTTGACGTCGTCTGGAGGCCATCTGGAGCGCTCTTTACGGCCAGCTTCGGCCCCAAGAGGCCCCCGAGAGGGCAAGAGAGCCCCAATTAGAATCACCCCGCAGAGGCCTTCCGGGTGATCCTAACTAGGTCTGTCTTGGGGCCCTCTTGGGGCCTTCTCGGGGCCTCTTGGACCCCTGAGGCCATCTTGAGCCATCTTGGAGCCAGCCTCGCCCCTTGTCCCCTTCCTCAGGCCGCGTTCGGCCTCATTTCTCGCCCTCCAGGGGACAACAATGGACCAAAACAGAAAACCAAAATCAAACGACCCGCCGCGCCAGGATCAAACAAAATCGGATGTATCACAAAGCAACCACTGAAAAAGGCGACAGCAACTTGCATAGATTCGACACCTTTCTCAACTCACAGAGCTTGAAACATAATCGTTGTAATCGAACGATGGGACTGCGTAAGACCTCCGGCTCGCCAGCGCAGTGTAGAGCAGTGATAGCCTCGCCAAAAGGGCTGAATAATAAGAACGCAGCCCAAAAGCCATAGAGGAACGGTTTGGTTTTGGAGATTCCTGTGGTGGCCAGGTCAAGGTTCAGTAAAGCATTTACCACCATGGCGACCCCATAAAAAGTGTTCCAGGATTTCTCTAGCCGCGATACAAGTTCAGCGTGGTATTCATCCGAGCCAGGCATCGCCAGCAGAAAGATGTAGATGAAAGGCGTGAAAAATGCCGAGGATGCTGAAGGGCTACACTTCACGATTTGCGACAGAGTACTCTTGGAGTCATCAAAAACCACTGGACTCATATCCCAGTCGGCGCAGACTCCTTTGTAAGTGTACCACTTCATGGCGACGGACGCTCGCTCGCTGAAGGTGCTGCCCCCCTTGGCCTTTGACCTGGCTGTTTCAGCCGCCCTCCCGACGAAGGGCTCCCATGCTGCCGTCTGCTGCAACGCGACGTGAGCATGTAGTCGACCGTTCTCGTCACACGGCCTTCCCACAAGTCATTATTCACTCGCCTGATGCAGCGGTCGTTACCAAACGCACGAGGGAGGGGGGAGCGTTGAGGTAACGACCGTTACAGGCACGCGAATGAAGAATTTCTCTGCCCCCCTCCTAGCAGGCAGTAGGACCCTCCACTCCACGGTAGAAACTTTCTATGCGCATTTCGTCGCGTGCAAAGAAAGCCTGTGCTGTGCTGAGAAGTTCCTTGCCTATGTCGGTGTTCGCCGCCTCTTGCGCAGCTGACTCTGCCCTCTCGCAAGCGCCGGCGTAGTAGCAGTAGTAGCAGTAGTAGTAGCAGTAGCAGTAGCAGTAGCAGTAGTAGTAGTAGCAGTATTTGTAGAGGCCTCTGTGAAACGTCCCGGGACCTCTGTGGATCAGGTCAGCACAAGTCAGCGCAAGTCAGCGCAGGTCAGCGCAGGTCCTCACAGAACGACGCAGGACGGCACGGGTCTCGGACAGGGAGGACAGGGCACAATCTGAGCTGCGCTAACCTGCGCTGACCTGCGCTGACCTGCGCTGACTGGCCTGACCTGCGCTGACCTGCGCTGACCTGCGCTGACCTGCGCTGACTGGCCTGACCTGCGCTGACCCCGTTGACCTGCGCTGACCTGCGCTGACCCGCGCTGACCTGTGCTGACCTGCGCTGACCAGCGCTTCTGAGGAGCGCGTGACCTGCGCTGACCTGCGCTGATCTGCGCGGATCCGCGCTGACCTGCGTTGACCTGCGCTGACCCGCGCCGGTAACATCTCCGGGTTGAATGCGAACACCCTGAATATTGGGAATCTGGTGATTTGTGTCTACTCATTTGTGTGTCCCAGTGCCCCTTCAGAGAGGTCCGGTGAGCAGCGGCACCGATGCTCTTTGCTCGGGCCGGACGAAAGGGGGGGACAGGGAAAGGGGGGGTACGAAATCTGCTGCATGCAGCTGGTTTCGGCCCCGCCGCAGGGCCCATTCCTCGAGACATGGGCGCCTCACGGCGCCAGGAGGCGCCGGGAGAATCAGCCACGTGAGCTGATTCCCAAACCCCCCTTTTGCTATTCCCCCCTTTCGCCCAGCCCGACCTCTGCCCCCCGCAGTTTTTGGGGGGACCCCACGCTGGAGATCAGGGGCCGCCGAGAGCCTCCGAAGGCCCGTCGGTTTCGGTCCTAGGCCGTTTCCACGAAAAGGAGGTTTACTAAATAGGGGGCCACGTGCGAACCCTACCCCTACTCCCCACGATTTCTGAGGGGGAGGGTGGGGTTCACTTCGTTCAGGAGCTCCGAATGTCATGGTATCCCCGACTGAACCTGGCCCGGTCCGTCGCCCCCCGCCCCCCACGGGAATTCGGGAATTCGGGGCAGTGTCGGGCCTGTCCCTTGGCAGGAGGGGTATTCAAGAATGGTTAGAACATAGTCCTGGGACGATTTTTGTGTTACTAGTTTTGAGTATGTTTGGGATATGTTTGGGGTATTTCCAACCTGTCGCCCAAAATCCCCCTGTAGGGGGGCACGCCCGACCTGACCCTCGCGCCCGTAGAGCCCCCCCAGCCCCCCCCCCCGTACAGAGCAGAGCTGCAGCTGCGCAATTCGCTCCCCTTGTGGAAACTGTTCTTTCCGCTGCTTATCCAAGCTCGCACTCCAAATAGGGCCACCTGGTACTTGCCGTTCCACTGAAGAGCCTTTCGCTTACAGGTCGGGTTCATGGAAGCTGGTTTGTTAGATCCCGATGCTGCGGCGAGGTGCAGCTGGCACAGCAGGAGAGTAAACGAGCAGCGGTATCATGGCTCAGGGGGAACACCAGTAGGAAGTGGCATTGCGGCTGTATACATCCGTCGCCGCGAGGATCAAACCACTAAGATTTACCCCAAGGCAGACACAGGCCGTTGCACGCCAGCCCTAACCAGCAGCCTGGGCAGCGACCAGAGAGACCCAGGGCTAATGCAGGATGAAGAAGCGCGGAGGACAGAAGTTCCAGCAGGAGCCACGAACTCCGCATTCGATTGTTTGCGATTTCAGATACTTCACTAGAGGAACATGTTGATACTCTTTGTGCGGTAGGTTCGTGTCGTGTCGACTGGCGGCGACCCCGCCAGCAGCGTTCAACGTTGAACGCCGCGGGCGACCCATAATCTTCCGATGTGGAACGATTTGGACGTTTCGGAAACGGCCGATCGTCCAAGGTTGAACGATCCCCGCGGTTTCAGAAACCAACGCCGAAGTCGACACGACGCGAACCTGCCGTAATTAGATGCTGGATGGCCTTATACGGCTCAGCAACCGAAGGCCTAGTTGGGGGCACGTTTGAGCGGGCATTCGAGAATGGACTACAAGGGGCAGAGCTTGAGTCGCTTGCGGCGTTTGGACGGAAGCTGTTGAGCTCGCAGACGGGCGCGAAAGCACCAGGGGGCGCGCATACAGTCAACCCGCACAGCAAGGATGAGCATCTCTCCAAGGTCATCCCTGCGTCCTTCTTTCGTTCCTTCGGTTCATCTTTGGCCGCTTTCACTGGCCGCGCCCCGCCCGAAGGATGTCGACGTGGCCAGGGCCCTTGCATCATCATCGTGTGTCCTTCGTATACGGGTTGGCTGGGCCCCCTTATCGTATCGTATCTCCCTAGCCCTTAGCGTATGATCCTTAGCGTATCTCCTTACTCACCGCCCACAAACCACGCCAACCCAACCCGAAGGCCCCGATGTGCCCTCCATTTCCAGTGGTGGTGGGGGGGGGTCGGGGAACCTTGAAAACCACACCACCCCAAGTTTGGGCCTTCGGGTTGGGCTGGGGTGGTCTGGCAAGTCGTCATCCTCGCATCTCCTCGTCGTGCCTCCCTGTCGGGTTGTACCCTCGTGCCCCCTTCTCGTGGGATCCCTTCCCCGGCTGGGTGCGCAGCAGCGCCCGGCGGCCCCAAGTGGCGCACGCGGGCTGGCCGCAGACAGCCAGAGGGCCGAGAGGGCCCCTGGCGCCAGAGGCCACGCGCAGAGGGGGCCGCCGGCGCCGCGAGAGAGCCGGTGGGCGCCGAGGCGGTGCCTTTGACGAGTAGGGGATCGACTACAGAATCGACTGCTGCGTCTGATCCTCACGCTGGTCCACCTCCTCCTCCTCCTTCTCCTCCTCCTCCTCCTCCACCCCCTCCTCCTGCTCCTCCTCCTCCTCCTTCTCCTCCTCGTCCTCGTCGTCGTCGTCCTCCTCCTCCTCCTCCTCCTCGTCCTCCTCCTCCTCGTCCTCCTCCTTCTCCTCCTCCTCCTCCTCCCCCTCCTCCTCCTCGTCCACCCGCTTCTCCTCCACTCCCTCCTCTTCTTCCACCCTCCTCCTCCTCCTCCTGCTCCTCTCCTCCTCCTCCTGCTCCTCCTCCTCCTCCTGCTCCTCCTCTTCCTCCTCCTCCTCCTCCTCCTCCTCCTCCTCCTCCTCCTCCTCCTCCTTCGCCTCCTCCTTCCCCTCCTCCTCCTCCTCCTGCTCCTCCTCGAGGCGCGAGGCTGCACTGGTCGATCTACCCCGCCGCTGGCTCGCTTCGCACATCTGCCAACACACATACGCAGATAGCTCGCAGATCCACGGAGCGAGCCTCGCACCCGTCGCAGCATCGACCGGAAAGTCAACGTTTGGGAGGCACGCCATTTCTGCAGTCGATCTCCTGCTTGAGCTGGGGGCGGGCAGCGCGCGCGCGTCCGCGCCGTGCGCGCCGCGCGCGCGCGCGCGTCGAGGGGGGACTTTTGTTGCGGGCCGCGGCCGCCGGGGGCCCCGGGGAGGCGACCTCAGCAGGACGTGGGCCGCGCCGGCGTGGCCGGGCGGCGGCTGGGCGGCAGGCGCGCGGGGGGGCGCGGCCACCGGAGGGGCGAGGGGGCCGGCTGTTGTTCTGTCGGGGGCGGAAAAGAGGGGGGTGATGACTAGGGGGGGGTGGATATCATGGCGGGGGGCATGATATTTCCCCAGATTTCACGGCGCCTCTTCTTATCTGATTACGTCCCTGGCCCCCCCGCTGGGCCGCGCACATGCCGCCGGTCATGATTTGCACCCCCCCCTCTTGGACACCCCCCTCTTGGCCGCTCCCGATTCTGGACGCCCGAAATAAATAAAAAAGAATGGGCACAATGCCCAGCAGAAGTTCCCGTTCATTCTGCACGGGATTCGCTGTCCACGCCGCCGCGGCCTCTGTTCCATTCGAGACAGGGGGCCGCCTGGCCAACAGCGGCCGCTGGTGGTCTGGGGCAACATTTGCGGTTGGGCATTGTACCCATGTGTTCGGTACCCATTTCGGGCGTCCCAATTTGGTGTTGTTGTTGTTGTTGTTGCTGTTGTTGTTGATGTTGTTGTTGTTGTTATTGTTGTTTTGTTGTTTTGTTGTTTGTTGTTTGTTGTTGTTGTTGTTGTTGTTGAACATTATTCCTTCTAAAGAATTATTATTGTTGGGACCCCTGGTGCGCGACCTCTGCGCCGCGCCTAGGCCGCAGCTACATTTTCATCATTTTTTCGCGAAAGCTTCAGAAAAGTGGATGAGCTCCGGATCCGGTTTTTTGTTGACGCTCGTTTTCCCTTGCAAAAAACAATAGAAAATGAAAATTCTTGTTCTTACTTGATCAAATTGCAAGAATCCCTTGCAAAAAATAAGGTAAAGTGGACATTCGTGCGCGCAAGACGAAATCCTTCCAAAACCTTAGGTTTCGTAGCGATTTTAACATAAAAACATCAAAAACCCAATGGTTTTTTAAGAAAAAATTGTCAAAATGTCCTTCCGCGCGCTCTTGCGGATTCATAGGAAACACACCACTTTTTAAACATTTCTGTCAAAAGGGTCTTTGCGTGCTACTTCTTCAGGTGCTTTGAACTTCTCCAACAACGGTTGCGCGCCTGCGAGGGCCACCATCCCTTGCAAAAAATGAGACGAAGTGCACATGCGCGCGGCCGCCGCGCGCGCATGTCGAAATCCTGCCAAACACAATGGGTTTTCAATAATTTCAAGATGCGATGTTCAGAAAACATATGAAAACGCACTACTTTCTCATCCGAAAAATCTCGAAATCCATTCGCGGTCTCTTGATGAATCTTTAAAACCCAAGATGGCCCCAACAGGCGCGCAAGATGGCCCCAAGAGGCGTCCATGAGGCCCAAAGAGGCGCCCAAGATGGTCCCAAGAGGCTTCAAGAGGACTCCAAGAGGCCCCCAAGAGGTTCCAGAGAGGCTCCAAGGTGGCTCCAAGAGACCCCCAAGATGGCCCCAGGAGGCGTTCTAGAGGCCCCAAGAGTCCGCCGTGAGGGTCCAATAAGCCCCCAAGAGGCCCCAAGATGGTTCCAAGGAGCCCCCCAAAGGCTCTCAAGTGGACCCCAAACCGCGCCAGGAGGCTTCCCCCCTTCCCCAAGAGGACCCCAAGCGGCCCCAGGAAGGCCCCCGACTGCTGACGCACATATCCGTAGCCATCTCGGATCAAGGTATCGCCTGTGTTCTTGGATCATGGCTTTGACGGCGAAAGACCTTCACGAGCAGTATGGCCCTGAGCTGTCGCGGCCTCCCTTGGCCGACTGCGAGAGTGCGTATTATTTGCATCAGGCGCTCCGGGCAAAGGGTATCAATGCTAGTCACCAGGCGTGCAAGACTTGGTGGGCCAAGTATCGGGTTGTGACTGGCACGGTCAGTATTTCTAGCGCCAAGGAGCTGGAGGAGCAGGAGAGTATACCCCTACGTGTGACTGGACCTGTTTGCGAAAGCAGGAGAAAGTATGGCACCCCTTTGTGTCCAGAGCCGCGCCGTCTGCGTTCTTCCTTTCTCGCTTCTCTCCTTTCCTCCTTGTCCTGCTCCTCCTCCCCCTCTTCCGCCTTGGAGCCGTATTGGAACTGTCGATGGCCATCTCCCTTTCTCCCTCGCATGTCTGCTTGTACATACGTATAATTTCAGAACTTACCGTGCATGCGATCGTTTACAACATGGTGGACCGTGCGTATGTCACGAACCTTGTATACATGTGTTTCTCTCCCTCCGTCTGGCTGTGCACGCGCGCGTTGGGCACTGAGAGTTAGGATCATAGCGCCATGAGTCTATGAGCAATGCATGCGTCATCCTTGGGACTGTATAACATCAGTGTAACACATGTACTTCTGTAATCGCATCCCCACGAATTTGCCCCAAAAATGTGACCAACTATCTTGGCACTGCGTACCATCTCACGTGTACCGTGTACCACATCATATGTAACAGATGTGATCAACCTCTGTGGGTGTGTACCCCACGCCAGTGTAGTAGCCAGGGTCGTCCGCACGCCACGAAGTGAAGTGTCCCAACGTCATAGGGCGGGAAGCTGGGTGTGGGTGGTCTCGAAGAGTCGTTTGGATATTTGGTAGAGCTTGAACGGCCCCCCCACGAAGTGGGGGTATTGGCTGGTGTCGCAAGAAAACCCTGGCACTGGGGAGAACACTGAGCGTTCGGGTAAAATGATTGTTGTTGTTGTTGTTGTTGTTGCGGGCAGTGGCGACGCGTCCAGGGCGTGCCTCTACACATGGTTCGTTTCTAATTCTTCGACAGTTATTGGATGCATTGGGGGAGCCAGGATCCGTTCATGTCTAATCGTTCTGTCCTGGGCCTCTTCCTGGCCACCATGGGGCCAGGAGCAAGCAGAAAGGAGCACGATTAGAAATGAGCACGATTAGAAATGAACGACGTGTAGTAGGCCCACCAGAGGATGTTCTGGGAACGTTTGGTGGTCTGCACGGCGAGATGTCCTCGGACCTTTCTGGCCGAGGCCGTCCTGTTTTTTGGCCCCTCAGGCTCGTGCTATAAGGGCATTGCTTTCAATTTTAGAATGTTTCTGGGTTCGAGGAACATGTCGTGGTAGGCCTATAGGATTGCCGGGGCGGTCGGGCCTTGCTCAATTGTGCTGCTCGAGCGTGGTCCGGTGCGTGCGGGGGCGGTTGGCTCAGCGGCACCGCAGCGGGTAATTATTTAGCAACGGGCACCCTGGAGATTGGCCGAGGGTTGCCACTTCAGGGCCTCTTTCTTCAGGCGATCGCAAACATGGATTAAGGGGACGTGGATTAGCGACAGGTCCCGTTTCCATGGGTAATCGAGGATTTCCGCCGCCGAGCGAGGCAGCACCGGCCGCATTTTGGGGAGGGCACCTCCCCCTGTCCATGGATTTGGCGACAGCGCGCCAGATCCATGGATCGCCAATCCATGTTTGCGCGCCCCCCATTTCTGGTGTTGCAGCGTTGCCCACGTCGGGGAGGAGTGTGTTCGCTGCGTCGCTGGCCAGAGTGCCCGTTGGTGGGGTCCCCGTCGGAGGGGCGCTGGTCGGCGTTCGGCCAGCGCTCGGAGCGTGCGTGCGGGGCTCCCGTCGGAGGGGGGGGGGCCGTGCGGGGCTCCAGGGGCGGGGCGTTCGGGCGGGCGGGCAAGCGTGCGTGGCTCTCCGAGAGCGCTCCCTCTGAGGGGTCTTCGGGGGGAGAGCAGCGCAGTATGCAGACTGAGTCATTGAAGAGGCAGCGCCCGCACGATGTGAAGCACCAGGGCCGTGACAGGGCTCAGCACGCGGCACTGGATCCACAGGAGAGGCGTAGGTATCGGCAGAGGCCGGGCCTGGCATCGTAGAATCCCACAGAGCGAGATCCCTTCTACGACGCACGATCCTTAGGGTACCCCACTGCGTGCTGAAGGACGGTTGCGGATATCGATTCCACGTTCTGTGTTTTTGTTTGAACACTCGGGTATGTGCGTGGCAGGTGTTATCACAGGCCCCGGGGTGCACATGGTTCCGCAAGTGTTCCAAGCGCTGGCCAGACTTGAAGAGGAAGCGGGATACCCAGATGAGAATACTGCATTTGGCAGATGTTGGGGAAAGCGTCGCGCTTGGTTTCCACATCTCGTGGGTTTTCCGATCTCACACGGTGCTGGTGTCGTAGAAGTGCGGCG